GAAGGAAGGAAGGAAGGAAGGAAGGAAGGAAGGAAGGAAGGAAGGAAGGAAGGGAAAAGGAAGAGCAAAGCAATAGCACTTAGACTCATATACCGCTTCATAGTTCTTTTACAGCCCTCTCTAAGGGGTTTACAGAGTCAGCCACTTGCCCCAAATATCTGGGTCTTCATTTTACCCACTTCGGAAGGATGGAAGACTGAGTCAACCTGGAGCCTGGGGAGATTTGAACTGCCAAATTGGAGGCAGCCGGCAGGCAGCAGAAGTAGCCTGCAGTACTGCACTCTAACCACTGCGCCACCGTGGCTCAAGAGAGCACTATCTCTGTTGGGTTAAAATGGGTAGGTAGATATTGTAGAAATATGGTGGGTCCCAGACCATGTGAGACTTTTATTGGTAGCCACCAGACTCTTGATGCACCTGGAAACACACAGGTGATCAGTGCGGCTCACGAAGCAGAAGTGTTTACATGGGCATACTGAGGCATATACATCCATCTGGTGCATTCTGGAAGAGTTGAAGCTTCCGGCAAGTGTTCAAGGGCTGTCGCCTAGACAGCAAGTGGCAGTAGTCACACCACTAGGTGTCTAGTGTGATAAGACGACTGACTGAAGCTAAGAAGCCCTGTATTGAATCTACTATTATGTATCTTGGGTTCTAGGATAATGAAGAACAGATGGAGACTTCCTTCTCTGCGGTATCTTTTTACGGAGTAGAACAAAGAGATGATATCCAGTCTGCATTTCCTTGTTATGAGATTAAACTTGCCCAATTCCTTCCAGCTTTTTTGAAGGTCTATTTCTAGTCCATCATCATCTCTATTGCCTTTTCCTGAGCAATTCTGATTGTCACGAAGAACCTTTCACCAGAAAATTTGGGATTTGCTGCTAGTACTGCTTTGCTAGAAGCAGAGACATCACCCTGCCAAGCAAAGTATGTCTAGTTAAGGCTATGGCTTTCCCACTTGCAATGTTTCAGCAGCAACTGAAAGCCACACAGAGGGAGAGAGAGAGAAATGGGGATAAAATGAGTCTTTAATGCTGCTCAAAACCACATACAGACCAAGGACTGCGATGTCTCTGGGTCTTGAGATTAAGAAACCCACAGGCAGTTTCCAGCAGGGCTACAGCATATTAAGATACAGTTATTGTTTTAACAATTTTTCTCCAGTTGCAATGTGTGGCTGTGAAAACTGGACCATAAGGAAGGCTGAGNCCCAGGGGCCGTAGTTTGAGGACCCCTGATTTAATGCAATATAAAAAAGGGAAATTTTCTGCGGGCCACCCAAAATTTTCTCATGGACCACCGGTTGGTGACTAATGCTCCAGAAAATAGTTAGGGCTGAAAAAATAATACAGGACGGCCATACCTGTGATCATTGTAAAATGCGAAGGTGAAGTCATAGTCACAAAGGGAGGTGTGATATATTTTGCTTTCACTCCTTCTTTAGCCAAGTAATCCATATGAGGAGTATCTACATCCTCATCATAATTCCATCGGAAGCCATCAAAGGAGATCAGGAGAAGTTTGTGGGCACCTGTTGTCTTCTCCTTCTGGACAGCTGGATAGCAGACCACACCAGCTAGAAGGCTCAAGATGAGAGCCAAGATGTTTTGTGTCTTCATTGTGTTGCTCTGGCTTGCAAGAAGGTGCTTTGTTCAGTTGTCCTTCTGCTTTTCTACTCTCAGAGGGTCGTAAAAGCCAAATTTTTATCAGAGCAAAGCTCAGCCTAGATAAGATTAGCCACTGCTGTGTCACCGAGCTTGCTGATATCACAGGAGGAAGAAGAATGAGCCAAGTATTAATTATGGTAAATACAGCTGTCTTTTACGATGTTAAAAGATTGGGGCAATGGGGAATAAAGAAGGAAGAGAAATCATATTATTTGTTGATGTTGGGACACAGCCATTCGGTGATTAATTATTTGAGGTGGTGGTGACAGAATTAAGGCAAAAAGTAAATTTGATGCACTGGATGGTACACTTTGTAATCATAATCATAATAAAAAAAATGGAAGGGGGGATTTGCCTAGAATTGTACATACAATAATAATACATACAATTTTTCCTTTCCTTTCCTTTCCTTTCCTTTCCTTTCCTTTCCTTTCCTTTCCTTTCCCTTCCCTTCCCTCCCCCTCCCCTCCCCTCTACCCTCTCCTCCCTTCTCTNGAAGGCCAGACAAGGAATAATGGATGGAAACTGGTCAAGGAGAGATTCAACCTGGAAATAAGGAGGAATTTTCTGACAGTGAGAACAATCAACCCACGGAACAGAAGTTGCCTTCGGAAGTTGTAAGAGCTTCATCACTTGAGACTTTCAAGAAGAGATTGGACTGCCATCTGTCAGAAATGGTGTAGGGTTGGACTAGATATCTTACAAGGTCCTTTCCAATTCAATCTGTTCAATCTATTAATCTTTTCAATTTCAGGTCTCGTCTTTCTTCTAATCTGCGCCCAGGTGACGTCCCTACATTTGTTTGCAAAAGTTTTTTTCTTAGCGAACGGACCATTTCCTCTGGTCTTGGAAGTCATTCTCGAGTTATGCAAATTTAGCTTCTTCTTCTTTTTTTTACAATTCTATTATTCCCTTCAGTTAAAGCTGTTTATGAGGGAAGAAGGATGCCTTCCCATTTCACAGTCCACAAAACCAGCCCGCAGCGTATGTGCCGACTTCGGGAAATGAGTTTTTTATGGGTGCATATTGCCTCTGTTTAGTTCAGTTCGTAGCTATCTTGCGAACAGATTGCTGAAACGGTCTTTGTATGCTTTTTACCCAGAGATAGATGATATCCCAAATAAAACATCTGCTGTCTTGTGTTTCTTTTTTAGGAATGGAAAAGATTTCTCTAAATGAAGGATGAGGCAGAGAAGAGGTGACTTAATGGCCGTACAACTAAATCACAAGGGAGTGGGTTTGCATGGTAAGCTAGGTTAAACAACAGCAATAACACTTAGACTTATATACCGCTTCTCAGTGCTTTTACAGTCCACTCTAAGTGGTTTACAGAGTCAGCTTCTTGTCCCCAACAATCTGGGTCCCCATTTTTCCTACCTCGGAAGGCTGAGTCAACCTTGAGCCAGTCAGGATCGAACTCCTGGCAGTTGTCAGAGTTAGCCTGCAATAATGCATTCTAACTACTGTGTCATCACAGAAGGAAAGGAAGGAAGGAAGGGAAGCACTTAGACTTATGTACTGCTTCACAGTGCTTTACAACCCTTTCTAAGCGGTTTACAGAGTCAGCCTCTTTCCCCCAACAATCTGTGCCCTCATTTACCGACCTCGGTAGGATGGAAGGCTGAGTCAAACTTGAGCCTGGTGAGATTTGAACAGCCAAACTGCTGGCAGCCAGTGATCAGCAGAAGTAGCCTGCAGTACTGCACTCTAACCACTGCGCCACCGTAGCTCCTGCAAAACTGCAATATGGTTTAGCTCAGTGAGTAAAACGTCCACTGGTGATCTGGTCAATAAGTCTAAATCATGGTGTAGTACAGGGGCTTCCAGCCTTGACAACTCTTGAGACTTTATGGACTTCAAATCCCAGAATTCCTCAGCCAGCAAGCCATAGCGAGGGAATTCTGGGAGTTGAGATCCACAAGTCAGAAAGATTATATTATATTAGCAGAGTTGGAAGGGATCTTGTAGGTCATCTAGGTCACCCCCCCCCACATGCCCAAGCAGGAGACTCTACACCATTTCTGACAGATGACAGTCCAGTCTCTTCTTGAAAGCCTCCAGTGAGGAAGCTCCTACAACTTCTGAAGGCAACTTCTGTTCCATTGGTTGATTGTTCTCACTGTCAGAAAGTTCCTCCTTATTTCCAGATTGAATGTCTCATTAATCAGTTTACATCCATTATTCCTTGTCTGGCCTTCGGGTGCTTTGGATAATAGCTTACCCCCTTCCCTCTGTGGAAGAATAAAGGAAGGAGGGAGGAAGGAAGGAAACAAGAGAGAAAGGAAGCAGGGAATGAAGGGAAGAAAGGGAAAGAAGGGAAGGAAGTTAAAGAAAAGAAAGAAAAAAGAAAGGGAGAAGAAAGGAAGGAAAGAAGGAAGGAAGGAAACAAGAGAGAAAGGAAGCAGGGAAGGAAGGGAAAGGAAGGAGAGAAGGGAGGGAAAGGAAGGAGAGAAGGGAGGGAAAGAAAGAAAAGAGAAAAAGAATGAAAAGAAAAAAGGAAGGAAGTATAAAGGAAGGAGGAAGGAAGGAAGAAGGAAGGAAATGAGAGAAAGGAAGAAAGGGAAGGGAAGAAAGGGAAATAAAGGAGGGAAGGAAGAGAAAGAAAAAGAAAAAAGGAAGGGAGAAGGAAGGAAGGAAAGGAATGAAGGAAAGAAGAAAGAAAGGAAGCAGGAAAGGAAGGGAAAGAAAGGAGAGAATGTGAGGAAAGAAAGAAAAGAGAAAAAAGAATGAAAAGAAAAAGAAAAAAGGAAGGAAGAATAAAGGAAGGAAGAAGGAAGGAATGAAACAAGAGAGAAAGGAAGAAAGGAGAGAAGGGAAGAAAGGGAAATAAAGGAGGGAAGGAAGAGAAAGAAAAGAAAGAAAAAAGGAAGGGAGAAGAAAGGAAGGAAAGAAGGAAGGAAAGAAGAGAGAAAGGAAGCAGGAAAGGAAGGGAAAGAAAGGAGAGAATGTGAGGGAAAAAAAGAGAAAAAAGAATGAAAAGAAAAAAGGAAGGAAAAAGGAAGGAAAGAAGAGAGAACAGTTCTCAAAACTGCATGAGTTATGAACCAATCCAGATTTTTCACTAGAATAGTTTTATGAAGCTGAAAAGAGCCAACTCTGGTTTTTCATTCCCGCGTATGATGTGAGTAAAAAACACAACTGGCTTGGGAAATGATCTTTTTTTTAAAAAAAAAATATTTATTGGAATATTTACATCTGCTGACTCTCGGCAACTCCAGGGGTTCACATATAAAGACCCAGAAAAACTCTGAAACAATTCAATAGCACAAGGAAGGATAAAAAGATGCAAAAGGCAGGTAACAACGAGAAGCAATTCCGCCCAAAGGAGAAGGGGGCCAAGGCCTGGGTGAGTGGGCCAAGTCTTCAAGGCTCTCCAAGGCATCAAGACAATGGGGGGGGGGGGCAGCTGGATCTTGTGGGAGGACTCATTCCAGAAGGACAGAGATGGCCTGATTCTGGGGTTCCAAAAAGATGGCATTGTTTAATCAAAGGAACCTAAGAGCATTTAGACTTATATACTGCTTCACACTGATTTACAGCCCTCTCTAAGCGGTTTACAGAGTCAGCCTCTTGCCCCCAACAATCTGGGTCCTAATTTTACCCACCTCGGAAGGATGGAAGGCTGAGTTAACCTTGAGCTGGTCAGGATCGAACTCTTTGCAGTCAGCAGAGTTAGCCTGCAATACTCCTTTCTAACTATTACACAGGAAGGAAGGAGGAAGGAAGGAAGGAAGGAAGGAAGGAAGGAAGGAAGGAAGGAAGGAAAGAAGAGCAAAGCAATAGCAATAGCACTTAAGACTTATATATCACTTCACAGTGCCTTACAGCCCTCTTTAAACAGTTTACAGAGTCAGCATCTTCCCCCAACAATCTGGGTCCTCATTTTACCCATCTCGGGTAGAAGGCTGAGTCAACCTTGAGCTGGTCAGTATCGAACTCTTGGCAGTTGCCAGAGTTAGACTGCAATACTCCTTTCTAATTATTGCACAGAAAGGAAGGAAGGAAGGAAGGAAGGAAGGAAGGAAGGAAGG